GTGGACCTGTCAATTGGTAATATGAATTAGCAAGTAGGGTATCAAACTCAGGGAACGGAAATTAATCTAACTACTAGAATTATCTAAAACAATTAGTAAAATAGAGGGGTTTTCTCTAGTTTTGCAAGACTAGAAACTTAACTAAAAACTTAACTAATCAACTAACAGCTGAAAACACGTAAAAACCAACTAAATTCAATGATCAAAAGGGTTTCTGTTTAGGTTCGATTCATTTACTCCTATGGTTAATTTTTATGGTAATGTTATGGATTAATTGTTATTGGTTACCGACTAAGGTGATTAGATTCACATTCGTTATTACTAATCCTTAGAAAATAGATTAATTTAAGCAGTGATCAAGTGGTTAAATTAATAAATTCCCTAGTTTAATTATTCGGGTTAAATAAGACTTGTAATTAGCTAATTAAATTGGTGATTCAATTAACCTCTTGTTGATGGTGTATCACACAAGCTCACACATTAATTTACCCATTCTCTAGTTAATCCTAGTTTCATATTCACTAATCCTAGGCATATAGCAATGTGTTCACATAAATCATATGAGATAAGCAATTAAGAGATGTTCATGCAGCTTAATTACTTAGCAATTAACAGAAAATAGTTATGGTTAATGCATAAGGGTCTTTAACAAGCTTAATTTAACAAGATTCACCACATAACAATTAATCAAAAGAGTAAATTAATCCATAGGAGCAAACTTGTCTTCCCTAAACAGAAACTAACGAGATTAGTTCATAATTACAGTAGATAAAAACCTAAAAACGAATTCAACCAATCCAAACATGGTTCTATTCAAAGATAAAGTGGAAAAGTAAACTTATGTTGCCTTGAATCTTCTTAGAATGGAGGATTAGGGTTCTTCTCACGTTCCTCAGGTCTCCAGCAGCCTTCTTAGTCACCAAGTAATCTTCCAAAAAAACAGAGAGAGTCTCAATTCGGGTTTGTTGCTTCTATTTATAGATTTCTCAAAACAGGGTCTACTCGTCGAGTAGACAACTGACTCGCCGAGTCCCCTTGTTAGAGTCCGTGTACGGCAAGGATTTTACATATTGCTTCGCGAACCTTCGTGGGCACTCGTCCAGTAGACGCTCCTGCTCGTCGAGTAGCTTCAGAATTTGACTCCTTTCTTCATTCTTCATCTCCCGAACTTCCGATCGCTTCTCCTGCTTCCTTTCTGCTTCCGAGCGTATCTTTTGGACTGAAAATATATTTCAAACACTATTAAGTACCTTTTGTCCATAATGTGCAAATAATTAGTGAATAAATAAGGAAAATCTACACTAAATATATAGCTAAATATGCACATATCACAAGCCAACGTAATCATTCTAGAAACCTCTCCCGTAAGTAGATCAACAAGTATAACAACTTGGAATTACTAATAAATCTTGTTTATATGTTCATAATAACGATAATGAACTTAAACATAAGTTATACTTAAAGTATGGTAAGCATAACTCAACTTATAGGTGGTTTAGCGAGAAACCAGACTTTACGTGGGCAGAACTTCTAAACCAAGAGTTCTATTTTTCAAGGCTTTCTGGCGCTTCATAGCTTCACTACTAACACTTAGAAAGTGCTAGAGAAAGGAATTGAGGACTTAGGGGGTTTGGGAGAGAATAAAATGGAAAAGTGTGAGGAAAAGAGTGAAATTCGGCCTTTATTTATAGGCTGAAATGTGCCCAGTACACTGGGCTTACGCAACATTACGCTAGGCGTAATGGGTTAAACTGGGTTATGTTGGGCATACATAAACATTACATTGGGCATAATTCCCCACATGTCAGCATATGGTGGCAAGCCGTGGGGAGGAAGGTGGTGCACCAGATCACGACACGTATCACACCGAGGTTAATCCGAAAATTAATTATCTTGCAAAATTCATAACTTTCGCATACAAACTCCGTTTTTATGTTATTTATATCCACGTGTAGCTATCGACGAGATATACAACTTTCATTTAGACTCCGTCAGCTAATTTTGACTTTATTTTTAAAGTTATATATTAATAGGCTTAGATAGTTAAAGTCCGTTAAAAATTCATAACTTTTTCATTCGAAGTCAATATTCGACTATCTTTATATCGTTGAGCTCCTATTAACGAGATCTTCAATTCTCATTTAGATTGTGTCGGCTAATAATCAATTGATCTAAAATTTGATTTCCGAGCTATACACTGCTACGCTGAATTTTAGAAAAATCATAACTTCCTCAAATTTAGTAAGATTTGGACGTTCTCTATATGTATGCTCTCGGCTTAACGACTACTACGATTTAGATCACTAAAGCTAAAATGCAATTTGTCAAAAATTTACTTTTTACGATGCGCAGAACCATGTCGGTTTATTTGTGAAACTTCAAAGGGTCATAACTTCTTCGTTATAAATAAAATTGGAACGTTCCTTATATCTCTGGAATCCTTGTCATGACTACTTTAACTTTGTTCAAGAATATTAGGTCTAATTATTATTCTATTTTAGACACGTATTTTATCTTATTTTATTATATTGTTATAAGCACGTATATTGCACATAATTTACACGTAAATCACATAATACTCGTATAATTCCTCTTCATTACTTCAAAATAGGTTAAAATTGCTGAACCTAACTATTACATCATCATAATAATGCTTAGCAAGCAACGCGGGCATTACAGATGACATCGTATGTCCTTTTTCTGAAGAAAGGAGTGTTACCAACAGATGAAAAGGAAGCTAGAAAAATACAAATAAACGCACCAAATTATACCATGCATGAGGAATGACTCTATCGAAAGGGATATTCTACCCCATGGTTAAAATGCATTACAAGGAAAGAAGTAGAGGTCATCATACATGAGATACATTCGGGCATCTATGGAGCACACAAAGTCAAAGGCAATTACCCAGAAGATCCTCCGAACAAAATATTTTTGGCCTTCCATGACCCAAGAATGAACACGTTCATAAGGAAGTGTCATGATTGTCAATACATTCGAATATACCTGCGTTTCCCCCAACGAACATGACAAGTATCATCAGTCCTTGGCCTTTCTTCCAATGGGGAATCGATATCGTTAGGCCTTTCCCGGAAGCACCATGAAGATTAAAGTTCCTCATAGTAGCAATAGATTACCTTACCAAATGGGTTGAAACAGAAGAAGTAGCAGTAATCTAAGGAAAGAATGTAATAAAGTTCGTGTAGAGACAAATTGTTTGTCGTTTTGGACTCCCACACACTATCATAAGTGACAATGGCAAACAGGTTGCTAATAATCACTTCAAAAAATGGTGTCAAGAGAAAAGGATCAAGCAGATTTTTATGTCCGTAGCTCATCCTCAAGCAAACGGCCAAGTGGAAGTAACGAACCGCACTTTGGTAAAAGGAATTAAGAAAATGTTAGAGAAATATAAAGGAATTTGGGTTGATGAGCTACAAAGTGTGTTGTGGGCATATAGAACAATGGTACAAACACCAACAAAGGAAACTCCATTCAGTCTTGTGTATGGGACGGAAGCAATCATCCCAATTGAAGTAACCATGAGGAGTACACGAACGAGCAATCCACTAGAACACTCGAATAGGGAAAACTTACGAACCAACCTAGATTTATTGGAGGAAAAAGAGAAGAGGCAGTTGTTCGTCAGGCATCTTACAAATCAATGACATAAAGGTATTATAATGCAAGAGTCAAAGGAGTGGCATGTAAGGTAGGGGACCTGGTCCTACGAAAGAATGAAGCTACTCGACAAGAACAAATTGGTAAGCTAGGTCCAAATTGGGAAGGGCCATACCGGGTAATCGAAGCTAGGAAAAATGGATCGTATGTTTTGGAAACCATGGAAGGAATCCGCTTACCAAGAACATGGAATACGTGAAATCTTCGCAAGTTTTATTTCTAAAGATATTGCCCGAGAAGAAGGTGGACAACTAATTGGAAGCCACAGTTGAATAACATTAGAAATTAGTTGTTTTTTGTATGTATCATGATTATTTTCCTTAATGCAATCTTTTGGCTCCTTACTCTTTACTACTTTGAATGTATTTACATCACCATAATCCTCCAAATTATGGTTCGATGTTAATTTACTCGAACCATAAGTTCATAACTTATGGTTAGACCATTATTTCACATCGTCATAATCCTCCAAATTATGGCTTGATGTTAATTTACTCGAACCATACGTTCATACCTTATGGTTCGGTCATTATTTCACATCGCCATAATCCTCGAAATTATGGATCGATGTTAACTTACTCGAACCATAAGTTCATACCTTATGGTTCGGCTATTATTTCAGATCGCCATAATCCTCTAAATTATGGCTCGATGTTAATTTACTCGAACCATAACTTCACACCTTATGGTTCAACATTATTTCACATTGCCATAATCCTCCAAATTATGGCTCGATGTTAATTTACTTGAACCATAAGTTTATACCTTATGGTTTAGTACTTTAGTAACTATTTCACATCGCCATAATCCTCCAAATTAAGGCTTGTTGTTAATTTACTCGAACCATAAGTTCATATCTTATGGTTCAGTCATTATTTCTCATCGCTATAATCCTCTAAATTATGGCTCGATGATAACTTACTTGAACCATAAGTTCATACCTTAAAATTTGGTCATATCTTATAGTTTAGTCATTATTATGGCTCGATGTCAATTTGCTCAACCAACAGGTTTACACCTTATGGTTCACTTACCATGGCTCAGCCTTTATTTCAAACCACTGTGATTACTACATTTATAACTTGGCGTTGGTTTAATTGGACTTTGAAGCGGGTCTAAACATTACTAACGATTATGGTACGTAGTAAGGATTTGTAAAGCACCACAAATCATTCAAAATGATAGAATCCACGAAGGAAATAGGAAAAATACGATAATTACATAGATATCAAACTTAGGAATCATACATCAAACACTACAAATACTACAACAACAACCAAAACAAAACAAGCCATAAACCAGAACCAACCATGCAAACGTCAATTACCAAGACCTGCACCATCTTGACTGGCCACGTGATCCAAAGACTTCAAGGTCTCCTTCAAAGCTTGAACATCCACATTATCTCCTCCCAAAAGACTGAGCAGTGAGTACTTATATGTAATCATCTCAGAGAAACAATCCATGATGTTACGTTTAGCATCGGGTCAATAGTAGAGGACTTTTTTTCCATCCAAATCCTCAAAGTAATTTTCTTTCATCTCATAGAAAGCTTGATGAAGCGCAAGTTGAATCGCCGTCGTCTGAAGCGCAACATTCACATCTCCAAAGTCCCCAGAATTCAAAAGAGCTCGAACAAAAGACGGATACCTTCTCTCACAACCCATTGCAAATTCATGTTACTCTGCTCCAACTCCTTCTGACGACACAACACATCTTGGGTTTCCAAAGATTGGGATTCACCAAAGGAAGCAATTTGAGCGTCTTTCTCCAATATTAAAGCTTTGGCAACAGCTACTTCTTCTTAGAGCAATTTAATATTGACATCTTTGCCCAAATAGGAACTCTACAGTTGCGATACATTTTTAGTATATTTCACCTTCAATGATTGAAATTGTTGGGAAAACTCTTCAAGCTCTTTGATCGCAACAACATAACGGCCAATCACATCATCACTCTTCAATTAGAGATCCTCGTTCAACCTTTTTAACTCCTCTTGAAGAACTAAACTCTCACTCAAATCGGAGACCAAACGTTGATTCCTTTAAGGTAAAACAAACACTTTTTCTTTCAATTCCTTCACTTCGGCTTCCGTTCGGTTATAAATATGGCGAAGTTGTTTCAAACTGTGGAGGCCCTCTTCGAATTTAAGCTGATGGTTACCATGCTCGTGCTTTTATACGGGCAGACACTTCGTTGAGCAGATACATTCTTTCCATCAAGTAAGACTGGGCTCTATCAAGAGCTTCTTTATCATAAGCAATGGCTGGATCAGGAGTTTTGGGTATATTGGTTGCAGCAACAGGACGTTGGAATTGAGGAAGTGAGGCGGCAAGAGTAACAAGCGTAGGCATCACAACTTGCATCCCAGACGAAGGAGTCACTACAACAGGTTACCATGTTATCAAATATATACATACACGGAAGCATATAAAAAAGGTATGTATAAAGAAAGCAGAGCAGGAAAGCATACAATCTATGTTGGAAGTCTTTGGAAGAACATCTAGAGCTGCACTGGGGTCAATAACATCCACAACAGTTAGTGGGATATCCAAGATGACGCAATCAGAGTTGTTTGTTTCTATAGGAAGTGAATTGTAACACCCCGACTCCCAGGTATAAAATTTAAAGCTTATTAGTGATATTATTAGACATACTCGACGAGTTGGATGCCCTAACTCGTCGTGTAGAAGCGGATCAGGTCGCGTGATTTTATGAGGTCTACTCGACGAGTTGGAGGACCCCAACTCGACGAGTAGGAGCTGAATGGGAAAACCCTAATTTTTAGGGTTTGCACCCTATTTAAAGGACTTAACCCACATCCTTGGTCCTTCCTTATCACCTCATTACCCAGAGAAGGAAACCCTAGCCATTCTTTACTACTTCATTGTGCTTGTGAGGCTAAGAGAGTGTTTTTGGTGCATTTGTTGAAGAAGTTTGAAGGTTGGGAAGCTTGGAACGGGAAGGAGGTTGTAGATCTAGCATCTACATCGTTTTGGCTTCCATTTGAAGGTAACAAGATGTTATCTTGATCATTCTAGTGTTAGATCTCCTTATTCTTGGGTTTAAGGCCATTTTTAGCATATTTGTGGATCATTTAGGGTATTGGGCATGATCTGAAGTTGTAACTTCAGATCTGGACTCCTCTAAGTCCTTATAGTTATAAAGTTATTGAATTTATCAAGCTTTAGCCCTTCTCTTTGGTTTAAACATCTCCCTTAGCTTGGTTTTGGCATTTAAGACCTTACATGCACGTAAAGTTTGCAACTTTACATGGAAACCATGCCCTAGGAGGCTAGATCTGCAATTTGGAGCTTTGGGGTAGCTTAAAAACTTCAGAATGAGAAATGGACTGAAGGGACTCGACGAGGTCCATGGTTAACTCGACGATTCAGATGAAGATTGGACGTTGTTGGTTTCTGCATGGACTCGGGGAGTCAGTGAGACGACTCGACTAGTCAATTAGGGTTTTCCCGACGTTTGGACACCGCATGGACTCAACGAGTTGTCTAGGAACTTGGCAAGTCAACTAGGGTTTTCACGATTTCTCCAGTTCTGGAAGGAATCGACGAGTCAGTGGGCTACACTCGACGAGTTGGGTCAACATGGACTATTGACCATGACCGTTGACTTTGACTTTGACCAAGGGTTGACTAGTTTGACTTCTAGGGGTATTTTAGTAATTTGGGAATTTATGAAAGTGGATCATTGGTGGATGTAGGTGATTGAGATTGGAGCTGCATTTGGGGAGTTTGACATTTATCATCCCGGGCTACTTGTGAGGTGAGTTGTCCTCACTATACTAACAGGGTCGAAGGCATTAATGTCGGACCTTTTCAGATTTGTATTCGGGTTTATTACATGATATGCTTATTAATTTGCATCCTGGTAGCTAGGATGGTGACATGCTTAGTGACCTGGTAGGTCGGTATCCTGGTATATAGGATAATGCTATGTTAGTGACCGGTTAGGTCTGTATCCTGGTTATAGGATGTTGCTATGATTAGTGATCTGTTAGATCGGTTTGACTGTTATATATATGCTAGCGTATGATATTTATGTACACATGATTGTTTGATTGGGGGTTGGGTTGAGGCGGACCTGCTTAGTGCTGGAGTCCAACATACTCAGGGCGGACCGGATAGACTGCAGACCCGGGAGGGCATACAAGTCAGATCAAAGGCCCAACGAGCGGTCCAGATAGGCTGAAGGCCCTGAAAGGAAGTATAGACATGCCGATGGCTCGGAGAGCTGTCCAGATAGACTGATGGCCCTGCGAGGTGGTCCATTCAGGCTGGTGGCTCATTATGCATGTTGTTTGTTTATATGATATGATTATGGTTGTATGCCGTTGGTATTTTGGGGAAACTCACTAAGCTTTGGGCTTACAGTTGTTGATTTTGTTTCAGGTACTTTTGATGATCGCGGGAAGGCGAAGGCGTGATCGTGCACCTCCTTACATTTTATGATTTGATTCTGGGATACTCTGACATGAAAACATTTTGAAAACAAATTTGTAATAATGAATGGTTTTTGAATGATTTAAAAAATTTTAAATTGGCTTGAATTTTATAGATGTTACAAGTTGGTATCAGAGCCTTGGTTTGAGTGAATTGGAGGAAACACTCGTGTATCTCCAGTGTCAAACTAAGGACAAGATTTTCAAATGATTTTTCAAATGGTTTTCAAAATACTAAAGGAGGATGCAAGTGTACGATCAGCCGGAGCCAGTAAGTAGACCCCAAAATACAAGACGGATTATTTGATTTTGCGATATGTTTGAACAACATGCTAGTACTAGGCTAGGGATCTTCAGTAATTGCATGATAGAATTGCCTGATTATATGATGCCTGATAGCCTAGGGTTTTCCTTGTATGAAATTTACATCATTACTGTAGTTGCTTAGTGTATGCATCACAGCCGTACATAATTAAAATCTTATAGCCTAAGAATGTTTGGTTTGGCCTTATTTCATGTTCTTGTTTGATGAAGGGATTAGGGTAGGATCAGGTATTCGAAAGTCTATAGGGTCCAGCGTTATGTATGGCTAGCATACACGAGTGCTGCAGGGTTGGTCGAAGTTTCATGGGTGGGTTATGCGGGGTCAGTAGGGCAGTTATTAGATATTAACCTTCCTCTAGGAGTGAGGATTGAGCACTCACCATGCATATGTATATTGTTAGGGCGTTGTGATGATACTTGAGACAAATATGGGTAGGTGTGGAAGGTAGTATGGGCATGTACTACTGAAAGCACATGACCCATACGCGTAGTAAGGAAGTCACAACCCCTAGGGCTTTGTTGGGAGTTGGTTCCCGGATTGTTATATGGAATGTCTGATATCTTCTTGGTATATGTTCAACATGGTGGTTACACGGAGATTTGTGACTGGATCCGGGTCAGGATCAGGAGGGAGCAGTCAGGAGGAACCAGCAGTGCCCGAGACTATCGGTCAGATGAGACCGGGTGAGATGGACGCCAAAATTCGGGAGATCCTACAGGATGAGGTTGTTGCGCTATTCCGGGCACAGTTGCCGGAGATGTTTGGGTCCATTAAGACCACTATGATTGACTATTTTGATGAGCGTTATGCAACCATTGCTGAGACGACTGCCGCAACAGATGTAATGGCGGCAGGAGGAGGAGCCATTCGGGCTTTTCAGTACAGGGACCTGATTATAGCCATGAGGTGATCCAGGACTTGATTATAGCTATGAGGTGGTTGTCAGACATGGAGGGGCGTTTCTTCACGTGCTCGTGTCCTGCTGACCAGAAGGTCAAATGTGCCCTAAACCTACTGAGGTCCGGGGCAAAGGACTGGTGGACGTTGATGACTGGGTCGTATACTGATGATCAGAGAGCTGCGGTTACTTGGGAGCAGTTCAGGGATATGTTCTGTGCTCGCTATATTACACAGGTCGAGGGGGAGCGGTTAGCTCAAGAGTTCTTGGAGTTGAGACAGGATGCTTAGCCGGTGACGGAGATCACCCGTATGTTCACTGAGAGGGCGATGTTCTGCCCGTAGTTTGCTTTAGAGCAGGCTCAAATGACACGTTATCTGAGCATGCTCAAGACTGACATCCGTCAGTTTGTTGCTACCCAACGATGTGATACTTTGCTGGAGTTATAGGAGCCACTAGGAGGCGGGAGCTTGATATTGAGTTACAGCTAAGAGAGAAGAGGCAGGCCTCAACGCAGTCACAGATGGGGCCAAAGCGGTCTAAGACCAACTGATTCGAGGTCGGGAGGCCAACAGGGCCGCACTTTTGGCAAGTACGGGAAGGGTCACTCGGGGGTTTGCAGATCGAGCAATGTGTGCCGCAAATGCGGCAATGAGGGGCATTTTGTGAGGGATTGTCGTCAGCCAGCCCTGTTCAGGATATGAGGATCTGCTACCACTGCCACCAGGTTGGTCACATGAAGACCAACTGTCCACAACTCGTTGCCAGGGCAGAGCAGAGGAGGCCAGGGCAGCACCAGACGTGGTTGCTGGTATGTTTCCATCCATTATCTTACTGATTATATTTTTTTATGCTTATATGTGTTGTACCATGTTAGGTACATTCTTAGTGAACTCCTTACCTGCTTTGGTATTATTCAACTCGGGGTCGAGTCGGCTGTTTGTCTCTCAAACATTTAGTAGGGGTTCAGTTTGCCAGTAGGAGAGCTAGAGTGTCCGTTGTGAGTCTCTATCGCTAATGAACACAGGGTTTCCGATTCTTCAGTCTATCGGGGTTGCGTGTTGGAGATCTTCGGGGTATCTTTCCCTATAGACTTGATTCCAATTCCCATGGGGGTGTGTGTGTGATCGTGGGTATGGACTGGCTTAGTCGCTTCGGTGCCATGATCGACTGCGAGGGTCAGCGAGTGGTAGTTCGAACCCCAATTGGGGGAGAACTGGTTGTCTATGGTGAGGGCACCAGGTTAGGTTCAGGGTTCTGCTCAGCCGCCAGGGCTCGACAACATATTCAGCACGGGTGTGCGGGTTATCTAGCCTACGTGGTGGATACGCGGGTCAGTGATCAGACTTCAGTTTTAGAGATTCCAGTAGTCAGGGAGTTCGCTAATGTGTTTCCAGAGGAATTACCTGGAGTGCCTCCGGAGAGGCAGGTCAAGTTTAGGATCGACCTAGTGCCAGGTGCAGCCCCTATCGCCAAGGCGTCATATCGATTGGCACCACCAGAGATGCATGAGCTGTCATCACAGCTGAAGGAACTGTTGGGCAATCAGTTCCTTCGTCCGAGCAGTTCTCCATGCGGAGCGTCGATTCTCTTCGTTAGGAAGAAGGATGGTTCGCACCGGATGTGAATTGACTATCGGGAGTTGAACAAGTTGACGATGAAGAACTGTTATCCACTCCCGAGG